CAGAAACATCTTCCTAGCTGTTCCCAAGAACGAGGCTGGGCAAAATGAACTTGCCGGTATTAACAGCTCTGTCTGCTACAAAGTGTTAGGACTTTAAAGAGAATGCTTTTGAGTGGGGATTTGAAGCCCTGGAGAGGTTTATAGGCCTTTCTGAAAATACACCGTTAAGTATACCAAGTCATAAACTTGAAAATACTAGTGCAGCTTTTTGAGGAGACACCTCACGAAGTATGAATGCTCTTCCAGAAAAACAGAAAACTCTATCCCTCAGGAGGTCTTTATACTAGCTACATTGGGCATGCTCTGAATCTCTGTTCCTCCAGAGTTAGACTACCAAGAAAAAGATACTCAGAGTGTGTCCAGTGCAGCTAGTATAAAGATACAGTTTTCTGTGGCTCTAGGGGAACTGTTTCCCTTCTCAAGCCATCTTTCATAGTCTTATTAGACATTTGTTCTCCATAAACTTTGCCTCACTGGCATACCTGATAATGCTGTGATTGAAGGACAAAAGCCTTTTCTTAACCCACTTACATGGAATCTGCAATGACTGCATTGTTGTTCCTGGTTCTACCATCCATTTGCTGCATGTTTAGCAGGACTGTACTGCAAAGTGGAAGCACTGGTTAAAACAGCATCATGACTGTTGGGAAGCAAGTGCATGCTTTTACTTTCCATGGAGGTGATAAATTCAGGCATATTGCTTAATGGATTGTGCCCAGATATTATCAGTGGTACAGGTGCATGGTTCCATTCCAATTACACTGTTCTTTGATGTCTGTCATACCAATGATGTCTAGTCTACCTTGCGTTCCTCAGCCTGCTCTTACTTTAGAGAAAAAGTTGAATGCTGTAGCTTGTTCTTAAAGCTGAGCAAGGCATGGAAACCGCTGTGTGGTTGTCTTGGCTATTGGGCTATACTGAAGATCTTATACTAGTGGTTGTTAAATGAGAGAAGGTGATGTGTGGTTTGACATACACAGCAACGGATGAAGGAGAGGAGCCATTAAGCTGGAGCTGTCCTCCTTTCCTTCTTGTGTTTCCCACAGTAAATAGAACTGGGGCTGTCGCAAAGAAGCTTCCTCATTCTGGTGTGCTTTTTGCCCATGTTGGCTAGTACCCAGAACTGCTTACTGTAAAGTTTGTCTTTTCCTTGGGAACTAAAGTAAGAGAACATTTAGAGGAGGAATTGGAAGAGCAGCTGGTTTCAATGCAATAAACAATCAATTTTGAAGTAGGTGCTTTGAGAATTTTGGAAAATAGCCAGCTGTTTTATCCCATGCATAAAAACATTCTCATACCCACATACGTATTCATAGATAGACGGGTAAGTAAAGATAGAGATATTTGTAAAGTCACTGGCTTTGAAAAGTTATCTCACTCAAAAAACATGTGAACAGTGTGTTAGTAACCTTGTATATGATAAAAAAAGTAAAAAGGTAAGTTGCACCTAGAAAGTTTGTGCAGTAACAGGGTTTAATAAACTAGGGAGGTAACTTTGTGCAAGTAACAATGTCTGTAGGTACAGCAGGTTGCAGATGAGGATGAGTATATAAAAGAAGCCATTATTTTATCTTACACAGCTGGTCTTGGACGAACTGGCACACTTATTGCCTGTTATATTATGAAACATTATCGGATGACAGCTGCTGAAGCTATTGCCTGGATCAGAATAAATAGGCCTGGTTCAGTGATTGGACCACAACAACACTTCCTGATGGAGTAAGTAGATGGACTATAGATGATTTAAAAAATAGATCTAGATGTCTTTTCCCTCTTCTTTTGTTGCACACTAGATAATCTTTGGTGTTAACTTGTAGTGTTTGGGGCTTTTTTTTTTTTTCCGTGTTACAATAGCAAACAGGCAGAACTTTGGACAGAAGGAGATATTTTCCGTGCAAAGTTGAAAGGAAACCGTAAAATTGCTGTGAGAAGAATTCTGTCAGGAGTAGATGACATTTCAATTGATGACACAAGAAATAGGAAAACCATCCGAAAGGACATTGAACTGGTAACCATCTGAATATTGTGCTCTTGTAAAATTTGTAGCTGCTGCTAAAAATCTCTCAGGTTCTGAACAAATCTATGGATACACTAAAACTATGATAATCAGATTCTTTTTCTGTTTGCCCTTTTGTATCAAGGGATATGTGGGGAAAAGAAGTATGGACAGAAAGTGTGAAAAATTGAGTGCAGTAGACAGGTGAAGTAGGAGCATTCTTATCATACTTTGGTCTTTAGTAATTAGGTAAATATTAGAAGAAAAAGTACTCATAATTTGCAATGAAAAACACGGTGATTTTGTTTTGGAGTGTCTCTTACTTCATTGTCAGTGTTCATAGGGAAGGGCTGAAAGGTCTTTTGCTCTTTTTAATTTCTAAGTAACTGCAGATTCTGTAACACCTTTTGTTGCTGCCTTCTAAAAAATGGTACTGCTATTTTAAAAAGGTAAGTGAAGGGGGGAAATGCCGTACTTGAGTGAAGATTGTACTGTACCTAAGCAAAGATTTGATAATATGTTTCTAGTATTTTAAAGGTAGACAACATTCTGATGCATGGAATTTGTTACACAACTTAATTGTTTACAGCTTTAAAAGCAGCAAACAGGAAACTGGAAAGAACATAACTGGATTTATGCAAGTGAATTTCCTTTGGTTTTATGTTGGCAGACTTGCCTGTTGGGGTAAATCTAACTTGAAGACTTTAAATAAGGCTAATTCTTAAATGTCTTAAGTGTCTATATTTTGATCATGATTTATCCCTTCTCCCCCACCACTTCTCCAGTACAGTGATGAAGATGAAACAAACTGTGTAACGCAAGGTGATAAGCTTCGTGCTCTGAAAAGTAGAAGGCAGGCAAAAGCTCCAGCTGCATCTCCACTAACGTAAGTCAGCTTCTGAAGATACAAATATCAGAAATACTTCCATCCTCTTCTTTATGCATACTTCCCTTTGCTCCAGAAAGTTTGTTGCCAGGGCTGCTTTTACTGATCTGAAACAAACGTGAGATTCACCATTTCTCTGGAGGCTTGGTGAGTGCTAAGGAGGCAGGAGAACTTGGTAAGGACTGTGTTACTCAATTTCTAGTTTTCTGTGTTGTTTTTGATTCCAGTAGTCTGCACTTTAGAAGCTCCCATAGTATTTCCTAATGCCTTAATTTTAATCACAAACGTTGTCTTGTCCTTCCTGTGGTAGTATAGAAACAGAAGAATATAAGTCTGTGTAGTGGTTTTTAATTGGCTGAAAAAAGGTACATGCTGTTTTTTGAAGTAAAATCAGCTGTGAAAGAAGACTAGTTGAAAGAAGAATCTTTAGCTTCCTTTCATTTCCTCTGTGTAGGAGAGGAACTTCTGCCAAATCCTGTGAGCATTGGGGTAAGGGCTGGTAGATCTGGAATGCAGAGATTAAGTGTTTCAGTACCTAAATTCAAAAGAAGTGCATTTCTGTCAGGGAACCTCATATGCTGAAACAGCACTTGTGACAGAAAGTTTGTGGTCACCTTTGCATCTGTTGTAGCTTGTAGCAACTGTATGTAGGAAAACTTCTTGTCTACCCTTAAACTGCAAGAGCGTGCAGGACTTGTGATCTGGATCCCATCTGATTGCCGAGAGAGGGGGAGTGACCCCTGGTTGCCAGATTTTTACTGGTAACACAGCACCAGGTTCACAGACCAAAGGCCAATTGGCTTTTGTGTCTGTCTCTGTAGCGGATGGTGCTGCTGGCTACTGACCTTTTTTTTTTATTTTTCTTGTTGGGTTTTTAGAACCAAACAGTGTCATCAGTTTTAGAAAAAGTGAGAGGTAACATAAGAATGTGCTGAAAGTAAAGGAGTATTTCTGAAGAAATCCTCACGTTTTGCTATGTACAAATTCTTTTTAAGATTCTCTTTTCTTCATGCGCATCATTTATACAGGCAATCGTATAAGAAACAACAGATTCAGAACAAAGCCTACACCCAACAGGTGCTAAAAGAACCCCAAAGCACATCACCTCAGTTACCTCAAATAGCACAGTAAAAAACAGCAGCCTTGCACATTTAGTTTGAGGAACACAGTGCCTTAGTTTCTGCTTTATAATGTTTTTTCATGAAGAGTACTATAAGTCATGTAATAAATGTTGTGAAAGATCTCATTTACTGTATGCTCTATAGAATAAACGTAGGCTGTATAATTTATTCAGAGCTATTGTCTTAATATGCAGAAAGCCTTATGAACTATTAAAATACTATTACATTCATGAAGCATTCTACAACATGACTGCTTTCATTAAAACTAGTTAGCATATACTTCTGTAGAATTAAAATAATTGATTTAGAGCTTATAGGTGGTTTTTTTATTGTGTGCATTGTGGCACGAGGAGTTGGAATTTTCCCACTGCTGTTGCTCCCACTTATTTGTATGATTCGCAGCTTGTGCTGAAATAATTTGTTGAAAAATGAATGCGTAAGTTCTTACATTCTTTGTGTTACTATTATTAAACCAAAGTATTGCTAGGAATATTTAAATCCCCTGTGTGAGTCAGAATTCTTCCTTACTAGAAGAGGCATCAGTCTTTTTCCCTTCTGGTTCAGACTGTTAAAAATAATTAATCTTTCAGTGAACCTGACTAATTTTATCTGAGCAAACAAAAAGAAGCTTCTAAATAACCTTCTACGTAGTTTTATTTCACAGAAAAGGTAAAAAAAAAAAAAAAAAAGGCAAAATAAGAGCACCATAAGCTGGGACAATTACAGGCCAGTTGGAGGCGTTACTTACTTCAGGTTGCAAAGGTCTGTAATATTTATTTAATGTTTATTGAAATTGGTTATATAAACTCGTATACTTTGAATGGGTACGTCGTGTTCTAATTAGCAATATTTTACGCCTTTGGCAAAATAAAAAAGCTAACCTTTGGTTAGCTCTTCCTACTTTGAACACAGGAAGGTATTTACATAAGTTGTTTACTCCTACAAACTAATCTCACTCTGATCTAATGTTTTAGTATTAAAACATACAGTTGTGAAGTAGGGTGTATGAACACAGGCTAGTCAAACCATCTGAGAGGTGGCAGCAAGTAGTCAGAGATGTAGGCCTCCAGCATGCACTTATTTTAAAGAGTGACACAGGCTTTCTTTGGAATGGGTGACTTCATGGAAGATTTCAGAAAATTGCTTTGATTCCAGGAATGTGTGGATACTACAGTTGCCAATTTTATGGTTACATTAATTGTTACAGTCATAGAAAGTGAGAAAGTGCTTGGTGAAGATTGTAGAGCTAGCTTCTCTTCTGCTGACCACTTGCCCAGCTAGGAAGGCTATTGTCATTGAGCAACATGTGAGCCAGATCCCTCCCTCTGGTCTTAAGATCATATGCAAGAGATCCAAAGTGACCCACCACTGGAGGAGTGAATAGATCAATGTATTCACTCAGGACACATAAAGCAGAGAAGAAGAGAGCAAGCTGACTCCAAAACCAGGCCATGGGGGAAGGAAGGACCCAGGCAATCAGTCCAACTCTAGTCATGTAGTAATCGCCAAGAAAAAGCCTCATAATCCTGTTTCTGCCTTGATCTTGTCCCACCGCTGTTGGGAACTCTACTTGCTGTGAACAGTCAGGGAGCCCTTCCAATAGCTGGAAATCCTGCACAGTACATCTGCTGTATAGGTGAGCTTTCCCCAACTCCACTTCAAGCTGAGTCAGCTCTTATGTGAATAACTTGGAGGTGGGACAGGATGTTAATGTGGAACTGGGAGGCACCTGGTGGTGATCTCCTAATTGGTTCCAATCCAGGGCAGGCTAGACCCTCGGTGAAAACCAATCAGGATGGTCTTCCTTGCCTGGTTGTGGACATCATGCATATGCCAACACTCATTCAGGGCTGGGGGTTTAAAACACAGCACTTCATCTTGGCAAAGGTTATAGAGCAATATGCTTTTAATGAACTTGAAAGAAGCTAAGATACACCAGTAGCTTTTGCTTTTGAATTTTTGTTCATCTTCTCCCCTCCTCCAACCCCTTTTTTAGATGGCTCCTAGCTATGCTGGTGTCTGCACTGTGTAGCATTGTCATCTGGTGGATTGTATGTGGCTCCCTTCTGCCCAGCCTGCTATTCTGTCTCGATGGTTTAAGAACATAGTAACCATCAGGACCCCCTGAGAGAGAGCCACTGTGTAAGTCTCCCATTCCATTTCTCTACAATAGCTCACGCTTTCTGCCTAGTGTGTCTCATAAATGCATGTTTTTGTATCATGTTTCTTACTGGCTTTGTGGCAAGAGTAAATTTCACTGCTTTGGCTTTGCTGTATTTTTGTATGTATTATTTAGAATAACTGAGTGATTTTTATGGCTGGCTTGTAATACAAAAAGGTGCAGAGCTTTTGTAATCAGAATAATTTATAATTTTGAAGCGTTTCCTCTCTGCATGCTCCTGCAAGTAAGAAAAATCATATAAATAAAACTATATTTGTAAAAAGGAAATAGTACTACTTTAAAATATAATTCTGTCCTTTGCATATTGCAAATGAAGATGTTCGCTCCAGTTTTACTTTGAAATTCTTGAACTTGCAAAGGAGCTTAGTTTCCCCAAGTATTCTTTTACTTGTGAAATGCCAGGGGTTAGAATTTGTTAGAAATGTCAGCAGGTCTGGGTTTTTACTAATAGATTTTAGTATTTTATACTGTAAGAGGCACTAATAGGGAACTTCCTTTTTCCATTTTAACAAAACAGAAGATGAGGCAGGTTGCAATATTAGGTGAAGGCTCTCTTCTTTACCCAGCCAATCTGTTTTCGTCTTCCTTTCTTCTCAGTTATTTTTCATAGAACTTTATGAGACTACTTAAATACTTTCTGTTACTTGGATTGAGGAGTTGCATAAAGCGTTAAAAATGTATTAGAACCTTCAGTACAGTTTTCCGTTTCTCCACTCCACTTTTTTCAGAGTGGCTGCAGTGATTGCTGTGCCCTGCTTCCACTGAAAAGGTGCAATGTTTTCATCAACCAGTTTTAGTCTTCTGGCCAAGCAAAACTTCAGCAGCGTGCAGAACTGCCAGGGAACCCGAAAAGGAACTTGTTGCTTGCTACTGTGGTGCTACTCCACCACCACCACCACCACCCTCAAAGCAAAATGATTACTTTTGGTGAATGCTTGGAATTTCGGTGCTCTCAGAGAGAAAAAAAAAAAAAAAAAAAGTCAGAAAAAGTGTTTTACACCAGAGCACTAAGTAAGAAAAGGCATTCTTTCCTGACAGAACACTGAGGTTAAGTGTTTGTATCCTTTTTATCTTTGGCCTTCCAACTTTTTGTCTGCGCTTTTAAAAAGCATGGTATTCTTTTTGCTAAATTAAGTGACTTAATAATGAAAGAATGAGAACTGGTGGACTTGTGAACAATTTATTTATCCTATTAGCCTCAGATAATAGATGAGATAATCTTAATCTATTAAAAAAGAAACAAACAAACAACTAAAAATCACTTCAGCTTTTTTGTCCTCGTTGGCACCTAACTTTGATGAAGAACATACTTAAATGAGAGGCTGGTCTTCAAAATTCTGCACGAGTTGTAGCTGTAGTTCTTGTCTCATTGTTTTCCACAAGTCAGACCTCTAAACACAGGCTGAAAACCTAAACCTTGGGTTTAAAAAATGAAACAGTCTGTGCTGTGAGATCAATCTTATTCAACTGTCATCTTTTCTTTCTCTCACAGTTTCTGTGTTCTTCCTAAAAATTCTCTTTGTTAGAGGGAAACAGAAAAGCCTGTTTGATGTTGGCAAATGTGTCAGGATGCAAGCAGTTGGGTTACTGGCGCTGCTGCCTCATACCCGGATTGATAATCACAGTTTTGGTTTATGTCCAGGAAGAGAAAACACTTAACCTTTTCTTAAAAGCTAGATTAAAGTTCTCTCCATTATGCAGCTAGTGTTCCTTGTGTTCTGAGAGTTCAGATTATCAGTCAGGATCTTGAATCTCTCTGGGCTAGCCTGGCAGTTCCGTTGGCTGGAGACCAGTAGACTGAAGAGTGTCAGTCACTGGATGCCAATTTATGACTTGGAACAGTGGTAGAGATCTCAGGCTTATTTTCCTAAAAATCATGAGATGAAAGAGAAAGCAATGTTTCATTAGGTAGACCTCATAAAAAAGGTAACCTTGGCAAGCATAAAGTGCCTATCACAGGTCAGAGAAGTTGTGCTCTTATTTAACCACTCTTCCCCCTCATCACTCACTACAATACTGTGATAATTTTTCTTCTAAAAACGTACCGCGTGGATTAATTTTGCTCCAAGATACATTACCTTGCTTGCATTTCAGGTTTTGTGGATTTTGTTTTGTAGGATTTGGGCTTTTGTGTCCTGGTAGTGTATCTGTCCCCTCACTGCACTTTAAATTAAATGATGAAAAAAAAGTTGTGAACCATTTAAAAGGTGGTGCTACTGACCCAAACACTGTTCCATTTGAGCAGGTTTTGATTTGTTTGAAGGCAAGTATGTTAGCTTGAATAAGAAAGTAGTGTCTGGTGTCCAGGGACTATATTAGATTCAAAACTACCAAGTAAACCTTCCATTACAGATAAACTAGAGATGAAAAATTCTTATGATGTATGGATTAGCCATTTTAGTTGGGTGGCTATTACAGCATCCTGTACCCTATGTTCAGGAAAAGTTCTGTGTGGTTTTTTTTTCTTTTTTAATACCATGTTTCATTGAGTTAGAAGACCTTTGTGCACTTGAGATGCACTTTCAGCTGATGTTACTGAAGTTAGTTGTTGCCATGTACAGCATGATGTGTTATCTTACATGTATAGTTACAGAGCAATAAGGTAGATGTCCTTAGGGCCTTACCCTTCTCTGATGATGGGTAAGAGAAGTTGGGATTTTATTTTTTGGTGCTAAAGTTTTGGGAGGGTTTCTTCCTTTGTGGCCTCATTTCACGACCATTATAAAACTTATCTACTGAACCTGCTATCAAGTGGGGCTGCTAAATTTGTGTTAAATCAAAATTCCATACATTAAAGGTAGTTTCTTTTCCTACTTTAAATATATATGTAGTAGCATTCTAGCAAAAGCTCTGATAGCACTGTGGCTGCTCCTAAGCTGGCAGTTGCCAGGCCTGAAGGCAGCTGAGTGTTCAGTTGTAACGCCATGTCGGACGGTGGTGTAAATGGAACCTCATCCATTTCGCTTTAGGTGCTAATAGCCTTGGAAGCCTAGGATTTTAGTCTGTTTTAAACATGTCTGTTTGATCATTCAGCAGATTTTTTCATTACCAGGATTTCAATTAATCTTTGCTCTTCAGTAGCTATGTGAAATTGTATGTCACCGAGATGTAAAAATAATGTATTGACTGAAGAGCAGGTGATGTTAAAGGTTCTACCACACTCACAACTAGCTCTGAGCTGGTCCCATAAACCAGCTCCCTCTCTGCCTACCCTTTGGTAAATACAGCAATCTTAAGAGGATAGTGTTGTGGTTGGTTTGGTTTTAAGGTGCAATTCTATATGGTGACTATTTTTAATAAGTCACATTCCCATTTAGAACCTCTTTTCTTTATTTGTTTTGGACAGATAAAATGAAATTCTGTTGCTAGAAGGGTTTGCCTAGGTGTAAAAGGTGATTATTTAAATGTTTGTGCAAGATGGTATCTTATCACTTCATAGAGTTTCAATTCATATTAGATAAATATATGGGTTTAAACCATGTATACTGACCTACTTTCTGAATTTCTAGTGTATTGAAAGAACGAACACCTATAAGAGAAAGATCATCACCATTAGGTCATGTTCCAATAACTTTCATGTTCTTCTGTATGTACACTGTGCACACTTCTTACAGAGAGACACTATATGCATGTTTATAAGGAGAGAACGTGATTTTTCCATATTTGTTTGCACTGAGCACTAAAAAAACAGCATGTGTTGTGATTTGATCACACTGACATTTCAGTGACTAAATGTTATGGGGTTAAGCCAGCTTTGTACCTTTCCATTCAGTCCTTAAAGCTGCTAGTGGCACAGATAAAAGGTACAATGTAAGTCTTTTTTCACCATTGGTATAATTTTTAAAATTTCATTGAAAGTGCCCAAATCTGTTCATTTTCTAACTGTGGCCTCATACCCAAAAGAGAATTTTGAGTTTTAATACTAGAAATCATCAGAACTGATTTACAAGCAAAATAGAAATTATAATGTGAACGTCCATGTTTTCAACCTTGGGCATGCGAGGAGAACAGATTCTTAGAAGAATTTGTGTTATCTATAGAAGCATGATATGTTGTTAAAGGTACCTGTTTTCCTTCAGCCTCCTGAATAACCAGTTCCTCCAACTTTGAATTTATTACGGTTCTAGTAGAATTTGCTCTGCATTTTGTTAGTACTTGCCATTACAATCTTGTACCTTATCTCAGAGGAAGAGAAGACTGTTTGATTTAGACTTTTGCAAATCACGTGACAAGATTTTGCAAGCTTGAAAAATTGAGGCTTGTTAAAGTAGAAATTTTAGTACTTGAACTTTGTGGTTCTGTAGTCATCTGTTTGCTAAACATTCTGGAAATATGTGGTAAACAGGGCTGCTGGTCAGTTTTACTGCTGTAAAGAGTTTATTTTAGATGAAATTGTGTCATCTCCAATGCATATTGTAATTCTGGTATCAAACCCATATAAAACAATTAAAGCATAGGGAGATCTTTTCCATTTCTGGTTTTGGTGAGTATGTTACACGAGTATGAAAATACTAATATTTTGTCCCATATATGCCTGTCCACGTTTGCTCCAAACATTACATTTTATCTTCATACCTAGGACTCATTGCAAACAGTTTCTTCAGAGTATTAAGAACCAGACTGCAGGTTCTACAACTTAATAAAGGTTTTTATTTCCAGTCTAATATAATCTGCTGACACAGATGGACTCTGAAGCCACTGAAAATTAGAGTCTAATAACACCATGGGAAAAAACAGTAATAGCTGAGTTACTCTTAGCTATGAATCTCTAAACTGGTGCATAGTTTTCTAGTTGGAACTTTGCACAGATGGGATGATGAGGATGTATAAAACAATGCACTAAACAGATACCTGCAGACACTACTGGCCAGCTGTCGCTTTTAGTTCTCCATAGTATCATAATTTTACCACAAGTATTTAGGAATA